TATCGTTTTGCAGGGGGTTGCGCATGTTGTCTTGAGAAAGAACCGGCCCAATACTAAAGTAGTGCTACCCCTTATATAATTAACACCCCTCATGTTGCTTTACTGCTTGCATTTATTGCTCAGAGTAACATAAGGACTCGTGTTGATCATACATCTTGCAAGGCCTTTTTCAGAAGCTGGATGGCTTGGGTGGACTTCACCAAAGGCATGTCCGACCGCCGGGTTCCCGATGTTCGACCACGGGTCCCGGGTCACTCATCCGCGTGGTCGATATCTGGTCGCATCGTGGAGATCATGGTGGCAAGGCCTGCGCAGGCTTTGCTGCCGCCACTGTTTTGCAATGGGCGAACTCCCTGAAACATTAACAATTTGCAAGATCTGGGGCACAAATCTGGGGGGGTGTTTCAGCCCAACTTGCGCCCCGCCTTCTGAAGGGGTTTAAGGGAACAAGTTGCAAATCATTGGAAATCCCCATCCTTTCGGGACCTCGAAGTTCAGCCAACACCAGGGAAGTGATTCACCAAGCACCAGACCAGGGATGCGTTTGCCACACCAAACTGCAAGCCCTGGAAAGCGATCGATCCCCCGTGGGCATTCCTATCATGCGCAACTCATCATGGCATTCATATCATTCGATCTGGCAGGTCAAAATCCCGTACTGGAACCCCGGTAAACATCCCAATTCCCGCTAAAATGTGTTTTTTTTCATGGGTGGTGCAACGAAAACCCCAAAAATGGGATCCCATTGGTTTTGACCCCCACCCAATCTCCAGCCTGCCGCCTTGGCCAAGTTGCTGATGATCTCACGCCTGCGACGCATTGCTGCGATTTCAGGAATATCGGCACAAGTCGGTCGAAGCTTGGACGGTCCGAGGGGGAACCACAGGAACCCAACCAAATAATTCTTTGGGTTGGAAACCCCAGCTAGAGGCCACCCCAAGAGGCCAATGCAATCAATCCACCCTTCGTTTGGCAGCCGATGACAAGCCACCCAGCCCTGTCCTCCCTTTTCCGTTCGGCATTGATTGGTTTTGTTTCTTGTGTCTGCCAGGCCCGTAGGATCTCGGGCACATGCTCCAGAAAACGTTGCTTGAGGCCTGTCGGGTTTGTGGGAGGTGTGGATTGCAAGACTGGGGGTCAAGAGTCTGCTGCTAACTCGAATCACTCTAAAGTCTGGAAGCGCCCTATCTAAGCCAGGCTGCCAGCTTACAGATATCTCCCAGTGTCATTCTTCCAACAGCTCAAGACAACTCCGAAACCGGCGAAACCGTGCCCTGAAAGAACCTCTAGAAACATCAGCCTTGCTTCCCCCTAGGCCTCGATCCCCGGCCATCTGGCGCCAAGGGGCCCTTCCACGCGGGCAAAGTAATCCTCATCGATGAGAAGGGGCTCAATGACCACCAAGATCTTGTGCACATACGGACGCACCTGGCTGAACGAACTGGGTGTCGCCAAATTTGGGGGGGGGGAATCCTCAAAAGGGTACACTGCGTTTTGGAACTGGGGCTGCAGCCATGTCGTCCAATTTGTACAAGACGCGGTCAATGACCTGGCGAAGGCATGACGTCCACAACTTGAATGCGCCCTTCAAACATGCTGCCATCCAACCCTTTCATATGTCCAACCCCGTTCATGGCTGACCCTGGTCAAACCCTGCCATAAACCCTCCGGTGAAGGCGCTCAAATTATCCGAGGCCTTTTTGAAGCGTACAGCACCATGTTCAACAAGGGGGGGCGGTACTGGCATCCTAGAAAAAGAGATCGGTACCTTGCTGAGTCACTTTTTCAACTCCGCTGCAAGCACTTCATTAAGAGCCTCTGTCAAAGTCATATGATGGACACTCGAAGCTGTGAAATGGGGCAATGGCAGCTGGCAAGCAAACGCGTCATTTGACAAGGGCTCAAGCATAATATTTACACGGGTACTCTGCGAGGCAAGACCTGAAATGGCAAAGCCGGCCAAGAAGGGAAGACTGGCCAGTCCTTATACGTCCTGCCCTGGCTAAAGTAAGCTGTCTGCGTCCGGCAGGATTTCTAAAATAAATAGGTCATGCAGCGCACCCGACATGTCAAAACGAGCTCGGCTAGGGGTCCCCAGCCGCAGCTCACGCCGTCTGGCAAAATGCCGACTTGATCTTTTTCCAGTCGAGTGAATTTACGCAGCACTGGCTAGTACTTTTCCAGTGGCAGTACTTAGAGGCAAAGTTCTTCCGCGAACAACGCGTCCCATGGGAGCAAGCCTGCCTGCCACACCAAAGGCAATCACTGTTGGAATCGCGTTTGGTGGGCTTCACGCTTGCCCAGGCAAGCGTCTTGTTCACCTCTCCTGTCTGGTAGTATAGGAACATGTGGCCGTTTGTCTCCAAGATCTCCATCTTGGCTGCCGCATCGAAACACACCCACATCCAGGTTGCCTCACTGTCACTTGCTTCGGCCGCCATGCACGGGTGCGGGACATTCGTGACAACTTTCACCACAGGCACAGCGGTCAAGTCCGTCACAGCCACAAGCGGGACGACATTCACAACAGGCACCAGCATACCAAAAAGCACCTCAGGATACTTCATTACTCCGTTGTCAAAGTCAGGCCGTGGTTGCTACTGTGGATGGACAGCCTGCACCATCTGAGATGGATGAGACCATACTTATGAACAATGGGACAAACCACCTATCAACTGGTGCGGCAAAACTGCCCATCCACAGTAGTAAGAAGGGAAAGGGTCCAACAATCGACTTTGATCACCATGTAAAGCTTTGAGTTCGCCCGGCACCTGTTGGAATGCGCCAGACTGCGGCTGCGGGCACGGCCCCTGCCAGCTAATCGGCGGCTGCTCCTTACTTGAAGATCAAGGGAACCAGTCGGAGCAATTGGAAGCTACCTTACGCAGGATAACAGCATGCGATCATATGTGCTGGGAATGCGGACCACACTGAGAAAACTGGTACTCGTTGTTTGCAGCTTCATGTCCGTTGGATCTTGTGGTTGCCCTTTGTGGTTGCCCTTTCATGATTTGACAGCGTTTGATGCCTTATTCTGCAATGCTTCCACAGCCAGCCCCTCTCCCCAATTTGTCCGCCCAGTTTCTTGTCCATCCAAGGTCACCTCTTCCTCTTGTCCGCACCGCTGCAGCGGCAAGCAACCACGAATAGCCTCAGGATCCATGCGCCTGACTCTGTTCTGGGCTGCGACCGTGATCGACCCGGTTTCAGAGCCAGCTGCAGGGTCGAGCAGTCGAGCTGTCACTGCCTGCCCTCCCGAATGAAGCGAGATTCTTCCACGGGGTCATTCATGAAGATTCGTCTGCTTGGTGTGGTACTTCTGCCTAAACCTAGCACTGGCCTCGATAAGGTTTATGTGAAGGTATTTGAGTATTGGAGGTTTCCGGGCCCTCAGGAACGTCTGGCTGAAAATACTTAGTTGTCCTTTTGGAAATACAGATGCACTGCTACATTAGAACCAGACTGAACCCAGTGCCATCTATTTTCAACCAACTGACCCAAAAAGACGCTGTGTGAAAACACACACTCAAGCCTTTGGATTGCGCAAATGGCTAAAGTGCAAGGCTTGCACAGAAGAGACTAGGCGCTCCCCAATGGTCAAAAGGCTTCAGCCACCACCATGATCCCTTCAGGCAGCCCCGAGTTCGATGGCCTTGACCAGCAAATGCCTCTCCTGGTCTTCCAAGGTGCTGCCTCCGACAGACCGAGCGGACTTCATTGGGCCCCAGTTGCATGGTAGCACGGTGCATGAGTCAAACCAGGGCATTGCCATAGGATGGCTGATGGCCACCATCCCCCTGTCCTTTGATCTCAAAAAGGAAAATCACCTGCCCGAATTGGGCTGGGGTATCCGATGTCCACCTCGCAACTTGTGACTCGCCCCAGAGTCCGGGCTCCCCAAGTTTCAGGAACCTTTCCCAGTTGTTCCACCCCTCCCATCCTTCACTAAGGTTTTGCCCCAAACGATTTTCCTGGTCCCTAAAAATGCAAGCTGTTGGTCAATACTGCCAATACCCCTTAAAGGGCAATTGTCCCCTTCTACCAAGCCGTGTTTTCAACGGGTACTACTACTCTTAGTAGGGCTTGAAGGCGATTTTTTGTTACTAAGGGACCCTTTGATGGACATCAGAATTCAGGGGGGATTAAAAAGTCCAATCACTTCCGAGGTGGTTCCAACTCTTGAACTTCCTGGCCATTTATTGCGGCTTGGTACTGCTCGTGACGCGTCCCACGTTCTCAGGCGCTGGCTCATGAGGAGCGGCAGGATCTGGTTGAACAGCGGCCCGGGCCCGAAGGCCCGCGCGCCTCGGTGAGGTCTCAGCTCGGCGGTCTGGCCACTTGTTTGGTGCACCAAAGGGAAACCAAAAAAAGATCATGCCATGGCTGGCTGCTTGGAAACCTCTTGTGCTCGTTGCTTTGTCAACTTCCTCTCTATTCCCCGCTGGAGAAAGCTTTTGCGGCTTTGGACAGGGAAGCCAAAAAGGAAACCTACTACCCTCCCTCCAACAATCATGGAAGCTAACAGAAGGGCTTTGGGAAGACTATTTGGGGACCGCCCTTGAGGGCAATTTGGGGGCGCCCAATTTTTTGATACCCCCCACCCCGAAAATCTCATCTCGGGCCCACGCCATCGCTCAGCTGCCGCAGCGCCGACCTCCGCATGGGCGGCGTGCCGTTCTTCACCTCGCGATCTTCGCGCACAGCGCGGCCCAACAAACCCTTGACAAAACGGAAGCAAGGCTTGTGAAAGCATAATTTTGCAAATAAATGTAGACAAGGACTTCTGTGGGTCAACAACAGGGCAACCCCAAACTGGAACACTGGTATATGGAACCCTGGAAACATGGACAAAAACCTGCGGTCCATATCCTGGTATTGACTAATTGTGACTCATAATTACCCAAAATCGGACCCTTACAGAACTCCTGGTAGCTCGCAGCTCCTTGGCTCCCTCGGCAAATTGTGGATCCACTTTTCTCACTTAGCGAGCAAATCCGCGGACCGGGATTGGCCGGAATGTCCGCCCCACGCTCAAATCAGGGGAGTCTAGGCAAACTGATTTTAAACACATTGCTGTGGGCTCCAAAGGAAAAATGGTACCTAAAATGGCGCCTTAGTATCTTAGGACAAAAACCCTGCGCAACCCTGTTTAAAAGATGAGCCATACCCAAATGGAACTCTTACAGAACTCCTGGTAGCTTGGTAGCCCCTTGGCTCTCTTGGCAAATTTGGATCCACTTGGCCCCAAAAACAAAATAACAAAAGATCCTTTCCCGGTGAGAAAATAACGATATATTTAAAAAGGAAAAAAGAAAAAAGAAAAAAACACTGAGAGAAAAGGAGAAGAAAAAAAGGGGGAAAAAACCGGAAACAAATCCCCCCCAAAAGTCCACCCCTCAAAAAAGAGGAAAAACACGCCGCCTTGAGCAGGAGCCGCATGATCTTCCGCTCCTTGGCCTCCTCTGGGGACAAGTTGTCATCATTGTCGCCTCGGAGCGGTCGAGCTTCGGCCGGCAAACCAAACAAACAAACGAGCCGCGGTCAACATATGGCTATGGGTCAAAAATAGGGTAATCCCAAAATGGAACCCTGGTAAATGGAAACAAGGACTCAAACCTGCGGTCCCCTGGTGGGTTAATTTTGACTCATACCCATATTGACCGTTACCCTTTTTCCAACAGTGGAAGTGGACAAGAGGCCTGTTTCTAGCAGGACTCAAGCCTTCCACAATCCTGTGTCAGCTTCAGGCATTGGAAAGATGGTACTCGTGGGAATTTCTGTGATCCCCTTGGTGTGGTTGAAATATAGACTTCGTCCCATGCCGCTCCCACATGGACCATTTTGGGTCGCTCTGTGTCGCCAGCCGGCCAGCAACGGGGCAAAGTAGGAGTAGTCCTGGCCCAACGAGCTGTGCTTTTCGAGTTCAGCTTGACCGAGCCATTCGCATTGACGGAAGCGGTTGCAGTTTTGCTATACATATGGATTGCTAAGGTAGGCGTTGGAAGGGCAACTTTGATATAGTTATCACACAGTTGCTATAAATTGAGCCCTCAAGCAGCATTCAGTTGAGGTGAATACTCCGCGAGCGTGTTGCCTTTCTTTCTATCATCTTGGTTCTAAATGATATAAATCATGGGTTGCTCAAAAAGTGCTTCAAAGCATTCTAGATGAAGAAGGGGCTCAAATTGGGAAGCAAATCTGAAGCTTCGCTCGCAGATTCAAGGCACCCGCCGGGTCTCTGGGGACATGCGCGGGCTCTTGGGAGCCGACATGGGGGCAACCAGGCGACTGTCGGGGCCAATATTGGCCAGGAGGCTGTTGCAAGCTACTGACCTGAATTGAAGGACGGTTTAGGTTGTCATTGGTTTGAACATCAAGCCTGTCACAAATGCATTCACTGCATATATATATATATATATACATATATATATATATAAATATATATATATATATATAATTGTCCCCTTAGTGGTACGTACCATCTGCAGATCTGCCATGCAGCCTGGCGGGCCATCGGAAAGCCCGCGGTTCCGAAGCCGTGCTACCGACCTTCAACCAGGAGCGGATACGAAATCCGAGCTCAATCGCTTTAACCCTCTCCTCATTCACATGGTTCCCCACTTTTCCGGTTACTGACCTTTCCAAAACCTGCCTTTCAGAATCACAAGGCGAAATCTGGGGAACCCGGGAGACAGGCCCGCGCATCGCCTCCGGCTTGATCATGGGCATCTCACCCACCGCTGGAGAGTCCGGCACCTGATACCTAAGTTGAGCGTGCGGCACCTAATACCATCAACCATTGACTGGATTTTAGATAGAGGTGCCATGCTCAGTTTCTTGTATGAAAGTCGACCAAGCACATGTAAATTCGGGGAATGCTACGTTTCACCGCCAGGGAAATTCACAGTGTCTCCACAACGAGTCTAGGCCATTGGCTCCTATCAAGAAATTGGCTGCTCACCCCACTGAGCCACCCAAGCCGGGCAGCTGGGAAACACATGTTTCGCGCAACCACAGGCGGAAGCAAGGGATCCCTGCAGGAGGAAAGATCACTGCTGACGCATTGCCGCACACCCCATGGTCTCACCGAACGTGGCTGGCTGCAATGAAGCGCCAGCTCTTTGATGTGGGTCCGTGCCACCCTGTCGGATGCCTGGACTGATGAAACTCTCACATGATGGGCATGCGCCCGGAGCAGAAACCTAAGAAACTTCCGCGACAAGCAGCATCACGCTGCTCTGAAACAATCAGCGCACCAACCCCGCATCTGCTGCCCCCAAAACAAGTTGAGCAGGCAGCCACGCAGGTCGGAGCCCCAGCGACCGGAGTTCAGGGAAGAATTCAGTGCCTTCTTTGTGATCACCTAGCTGTCAAGGGCCCGGGCCCCTTAAAGGAATCAGATTTGGAATACGGGCTGTGTTGATGCTCTCAGGTCTCTTAGCAAAGTGTTGGAGTCTGGGTGTCCCCTTTCAAAAAGGGTCCTTTTGTCCACCATCCCAAAATGGTGGCTTCCCTCCTTTGTTTTTCTGCAAAGGTCAGGTTTTACATGCCCAAGTATCCTCTTTTAGGAGCCCCAGGAAACTCCTCGCCCTGCTGAGAGAGCGGCGGCTTTGGCGCGTCCGGGCTCTGCATGGAGAAGAAGGGTGTGCCACCCGGCGTGGGCCTCCGGTCGCCGTGGCAGGTGAAGCGGGCAGCAAACGAATGCAACGGGTGAGGGTAACAAAGGCCAGGCCAGGAATCCGGTGGAAAAGGTAGATTTAGCTGGTTTGGGTAGACCCATGTTCATGTGAGGTGTCGATTGCCCCTCAAGTGGCTTGACGCAGGCTGGACACCGAGTTTCCCAAATGCGCCGGTTGGCAAAGGAACAGGCCACCACACACCACAAGAAAATAGTGGCAAGAACCTATGGGAATGTTTGCCAGCAAGTGTGGGACAAACCAAGGCTATGAACCCATGGATCGACCGCTTCTCTCTGGTGACAGTTTATCGAAATAAAATAGCAGTAGTGACCAATTTGACAGTTGATTGAAAAAGAAACATGACAATAGTGACCAATTGTTTATGACAGTCAATCGAAATGATCGCACGCTTGAATGGTGCATGGTCACGCCTCTCCTGGCAAACTCATGAATAGCCTTAAAACATGATGGGCTTGATGACCCATCCCAACTTGCGGCCCAAGTGATTCGTGCTTTTGGGCATTCGTGTCTGAATTTGATTGCTGATGGCCCGTTTTCTGTGGGCAGTCGCGGTGGGCCGCACAACCCGAGCTGAGTGTCGATAAGGCCCTGGCGTCGGAGTCGCCGATGAGAGGACCTGAGCGCAAAGCAGCAAACCATAGCACATCTTCGAGCAAACCAGCTTGGAGCTACTCCTGCCTCTTCCCAATTCATGTCGCCAAAACGCCAGCTTGGAGGTCAGACCATCCCAAAAGCCTTCAAAACCTGTCTTGAATGGGGGGGGGGACTGGAGGGGTGCGCGTGCCTGTTGAACCCTCCAAGCAAGTTTGCCCGCGGCTAGGGCAACCATAGAGACGATCACATGCTGGCGACTCTCCCTGGGCACAACGTGGCCTACGTCTGCTGCAACAACAACGCACCAACTCCACCAGCCCGAAACCATGGACCTGAAGAATTTGTCAATCCCGGAGTCTCCTGTGGAGCCTGGCTGCCAACAGAATGCTGTGGTGACAGCTCATGGGCTCTGTATTCATTACGAGCAGTCAAGCAAATCGTCCGTCATGCCGTTGAGTGTCTTGATCAGGATTGCTCCGAGCTGCGCAGCTGCGCCGGCAGAACATTGAAAAAGGGAGCATGCCGCATGCCCTCAGAAAGCCACCAACAAACTTGGGCCGCAGCAAAGAGCATGTGCCGTAGAAAGCAAAGCCAGCCCCACCTACCCCAACCCAACGAGCGACATTCGAGACCAGCCCAAACGAAGGAAAGCTTGGTTGGCAACTCCCGTAGGTCCCCCAAATGCTTTTGACCGCCACTTCATAATCCAGCTGACCAATCCAAAGTGCAGTCAAAGGGATCTGGTCTAGAACACTGGCGCCAGCGTCCCTACGTGCGTAGGTATCTGGGCCACCCCGGCGGACTTGCGGATGGGGTTGTAATTCGCAGGCGGCCTGCGGTTACGTCAAGAGAAGGGCTGGGCCTTTCTCCTTTGAGCATCCAGAGGTCTTGCTTCGATAGACGATCCAAATCGAACCAAATCGACACCGCAAAGAAGCTGGAGGTCAAGGACAAGAAACGATGGGGTCCAAATTGGGACACCCTTTGGGATCCTGCTTTGCTTGTTGTCTGCCAAAACCTTTCGTCATTTTGTAAACACAGCATGAGCTTGTCTCAAACGCAGCAAAATCCCCAAACTACTTTTTTGCCCTAAAGCTAGCAACCACATGGAACTTTCAAAGCAAGACCGTCACACCGCCCGTTATCGCCCCTGTCTCTAAGGCCATGCCGTCACATCCCCCTGCCTGACAATCTCATAGCCGGTCTGTGGGAAGATGGCGTCCAGCTCCTGACTTTAGCTGAAGGAGTCGCTGGGCCTTGCTCATAGGTGTCTTGTTGGTAAAATAGATTCGGGTTTCCCTGGTTTAAAAAAAACAAATGCATCAAGCCCATCTAAATCAGTGGAAGCCCCCAAGTTCAACACCTTCTCCATAGAAACAGCCCAAGCTCTGAAGAGATTATCCTTTTCGAGAGCCTCTTTCAGGTCTCTCTGTGAGGTTCACAAGTATTATGTTGTTGACGCGAGACGTCAAAAGGCTGAGAGATCATGCGGCACTAAGCCGAGAGGCGGAACCAAGGGACCTGATTGGTTGGGGCGCGTTCGCGCTTACTTTCACTAATTGAATTTCTTGCGTGCTCAAACCAACAGTTTCAATGTCCAAGGAACAATTCACGCAGGTCACCTGCTTGTTCCCTTGCTTCATTCTCATGTCCCCTCGCGAACGCCGCACTTGCCAGGAAGTCCTACGCTCCTTGGCCTCAGAAAGGCGTGATCTACTACGACAGAACCAATGATACTGTTGGACAAAACCCTTCACCAGTTGTTAGGTGGTTTATCAACCAGTATTCATAGGGTTTCATCCCAACTGGTGCAAGACCCTGTCCATCGGCGCAAAGGACGGCCACTCAACCGAATGCCCATGGAACCGGATTCGGCTGATAGAAAAAAAGTTTCCGGCAGAGCAGGCGGATGGTAAGACCAAGAGCATCTCAACAGCTGTGAGTGTCGGCAGCACGTGTGCTTAGAGACAGCTCGGTTCTCGTCATCCTGCAATCTGTTTGACTTCCCTTTGCGATTGACGCTTGGTGGAGGGCAAGATCAACGCTGTAGCACAATCCTTCGCGCTGTACGTTGGACCAAAACTTGAGCCTGTTGGACTCTGCGTTTCCCTTGATAGGTATCGCGGAATGTGCACCAGCACCCAGGTAATCCCTGTTTGTTCGAGTCCCCGCAAATGAATGTTTGGACTCATTTGAACCAATGCCTCTCACTTTTGCCAACTCCGGAGAGCTTGGCAGCCTGGGCTTTGCTAATGACCAAATCCCACCCCGACCCGCACCGCTTCAAGCAATTGTAACATGACAATTTGAATTATTCTCTCAGAGGCTCTGAGATCTCGCCCCATTGATGCGCAAAGAATGTGGCTCTTCAGTGAAACCATGATCCAGCTGCGATCTGATGTACATCTTTGGAACACTTTGCAGAGCGCTGAAAAAACCACCTGGCAACTCTCATGAAGGCACAGGGCACCAAACCACTCGCCTGCCAAATGCCAAGTCTGTCCTCATCCGTCATTGGAGCATTTCGCTCGTTAACCTCCGCGTCGTATCGGTACGCCTGCAAAGCGTGAGGGCAAATTCCTCTTGTTCCCGTTGAACGCGGGACCCACGTGGGGCGGCCTTTTATCAGGGGACCCCTCCAAAATGGTGCTTTTTCTTTTGGCTTCCCTTTTAAAAACAAACAAAAAGAAACAGGTACCCTCGGAATGGAAAACCTAGACCCGCAAGAGGCTCGAGGCTTGGACTTCCTTTGGTCCAAAGCGCCTCCTGCCTTCGCTGGTTCCCGCCTGAATCTGTTCCGGCGTCATGGACGCGAAGTTGGGCGTGAGGCCCACGGGCGTGCTCATGTTCGCCATGCCGGGCGTGCCCAACCTAGCGACAGGAAAACATGGCGCTATGTCTCGAAAGAAGGGAACCAACAAATGGTGGTGTTCCTTTCAGTGTCCCTACAATACCAAACAAAAGAGGGGCCCACCCTTGTGAGAAACTCCATGTAGTGTCCGTCTGGTGGCAAAGTTGCTCCAAGCCAATGGGATTGTGTGACCCCACCCCAAGGCAACTGCCTGATCCCCCAAACATCAAAGCCTTCATAGCAAGATGAAACAAACTCCTGCCAATCTCATCACTCCAAAATGCCAAAGTCAAATGGGAAGCTCCAGATCGTGCCACTCGTCCTCTCGGACCCCTGGCGGTGTGTCCCCCAGGTTAATGCCGCCAGCGAATGGCGTGGCACCTCACTCACGTGGCCAGCAGTCCAAAAACTCATGCTTGAGTATTCAATCCGTGTGTTTCTTGAAGCTACACCGCTCTTTTTAGGGTTGGTACGAGGGAAGCCAAACGGAAACCCAAAAGGAAACCCATCATTTCCCATCTGTTTTGGCGAAGGTGTCTTGATCTCAGCCCTTTTTCCCCCACTAGCTCGAGCCTGCCAGAGTTCAGGTGGCCAAAGGGGTCCCCAAATGGCCATTGCAAAGCGGGAAGCTTCCACATTCACCCCGGGTGGCGAATGACCTCACAATTCTCCTGCCTGCCTTCTACATGGTTGCTTCTCGAAATGGGGACAGGGTGCCCGCAACTGCTTGGTGTCGTTGTATGCGGCTTCCCCTTCAAGACATCAACCAAAACGGGGTCCACCCACGTCAATGCGCATCCCCTCATCTCAAATGCGCATCCCCTCATCTCAGGCTGAGGCCGATCATTGGCTCCATGCTGGGAGTCACATCTACGCCTTGGGCGAATCATTTTCGCGGGGGGAGGCAAAAGGAAGCCAAGCAGAGGTAGCCGAAAAGCTGGTCCGATGCAACAAACGTCTAGCCTACTGCATACTGCTGCATTGGAGACCATGACTTCCCTGCCTTGAGGGGGTGATTGATTTCATTCAGGAATTACAGCGAAGGACTCAGCTAGCCGCTAGTCAAGCTTGCCTTCCCGATCAAATTGACAAAAGCAGAGCGAGAGAGAGCGAGACAGAAAAGGAAATAGGAAGAAGAAGCCGAAGAAGAAAATACGAGGGAAAAAGCAAGAGACAGAGAAAGAGAAAGAGAAAAACAACTAGGAAAAGCAAGAGAAGCAGAAAGTGAAAAACGATATAAAGAGAAAAAACAACGAGAAAAAGAAAGAAGAATAAAAAAGTGAAGGCAGAGAGAAAGAGAATGGGATAGAGAACAAAGAGAAAGAGAAAGAGAAAGACAAAGAGGGATAAAAAGAGGGATAAAAAGAGGAAGAAAAGGAGACAGAACAAGATAAAGAAAAAGACAAAGTGAGAGGCAAAGACAACGAGAAAGATCACGGGAAAGAGAACAAACAGAAAGAGAAGGAGAAAGAACATGACAGGTCCCATATGAAGTACGTATTCAAGCCAGACTGGACATTTGCCACAGCAGCTCGCCTTAGAAAGCCAGATTGCGCATCTTCCTCAATGCGTAAGTCAGCCCAAATCCACACAAAGCCAAGAGGAGGAGAAAAGAAAGAGAAACAGAAACAGAATGAACTACGGAGAGAAACAGAGAAAGGGAAAGAGAATGATAAGAAGAAGAAAAGAAGACATGTAAAAAGGGAAGGACACAGAGAGCAGGAAAGATACGGAGAACGGGAAAGAAAAAGAGAAATTAACAAGACAATCATGCTTGCTGAATCGGGATTGGCATATGTCTGCAGATCTTGCTCCGACATGCTGCTGCAACCACTCATGAGCGGTCCCTGCAGCCACCCCTTGCCTTTTTGGAATACCCGATTTCAGCGGTCTGTATCAAATCGATTCCAGCCTCAGTTCTCTGCACAGGTCCAAATCATAAACTCGAATCATGTTGACACTAGAATGCATGGCTCGAACCCATTGGGATTTGTGTGGTCGTAACTGCGAGGTGTTCTTCAAAACACACCTGACGCTCCAGCCTTCCCCAGTGAACCCCCTGGCAGGATCCCATTTTTCCCCGCCAAAGCCAGGCAGACGAACCGCACTTGGCAGACTCAGCCCCGAACTTGTAGGCCCATCCAGCGTGGTCGAGTTGCACGGTCCGGAGATGACCCCCCGCCCCCCCCCGGCCGTCTCCACCCCAAGGGGTGGCCCTTGGATCCCCGGGCTGGGCGTGACATCCACGCTCGGGGTCACATCTGCAGTGGGCGTGGCCCCAACGTCCATCTCCTTCTCCGGCGCGGAGTCCTCAGAGACACCGACGTGGCTCGGCAAGGCTCATTCGACGCTTCAGCATCAGGCCGCTCCCATACCAACCATGGGTGAGGCAAAGGGCAGAGTGGGGTATGCGATACCTCTGCTAGGTCCTGCAGAGAGGTTAGAATAAGGGTACCCCTTTTTCTTAGCCCAAAAAAGGGTGAAAGGGCACTACTGGGGGACCTAGTCTGGGTGTCCCATGGCTTCAGGGTGAGCAACCATGTCACAGCTGAGTGGTGCCCCTGAAGTGGGATCTGAGGGCCCGGCCCATCGCGCGCGCTTCTTCTTGCCCGTGGGCATCGGGGTGTCACCTTGGAAGTTGGGAGCGAAATGTGGAGTTGGTAGAGTGCCACGAAAGTATTATAATGTAGAGTTGGGGGGGGGGGGTTGTGAGGGGGTTCTCAACATCGCGGTGTAGCTCACACCTGGGTGATTGTGGCGCAGTCCCACGTGGTGTTGACCAAGCCATCGACTAAAGGTCGGCTGATGGTGCTTCTACCTCCCTTGGACCCCGGATTGGGGCGACTCCCAATCAGGCGACCTCAAAATGGTGAATTTCCCGTAGCTTTGCAAAAAAACAAACAAACCAAAAGGCTCAAGACCCACCGGCCATCCCGCGTTCCCCACCCCCCCTACCACCCAACCCCCCCACCGTCATGGGCCGCCGCCCCACTCTCCAGGCTCCGGGGTCTCGCCAAACTCGTCGCCCTGGCGAGCCCCAGAGCTTTTTTTTGGGGGGTTGGCATGGTCAGGGGGTCACCTTGGCAGTTTTCCCCGAAGTCGACCAGTTGACGGATGGAACAACTGCCACCTGGAGGTTCCAAGGGAGGGAAATGGAGGAAAACCTGATGGTACATGAGCTGAATATGGCAAGCTTAACATGGCTAAGCAACCTAAAAACACACAACCAGATCCCTCACGATGCGTCGTCATGGTTGCGGTGAATTAATATTCTGCCTTGCCTCTGGCTCCTTCTCGGGCTTCTTCTCAGCTGCAGACCTCATCTATCAGAGCCGCGAGGGTCCAAGACCACTCATACCGGAGCAAGGAAATAGTACTAGACATTCGCATGTAGCATGCGTCAGCTCGTGCCGACCTCGGAATGCAGCTGGATTCCTTGGATGATTTTGGGGGTGGGGCAACCAAATGAATAAAATAGCATCAGAGGCAGGTCCATGCAGCCATGAGGCTGTTTTCAGGGCCAAAGCCGGTAGCAAAGACCCTCTGGGTAGTGCATGCCCAACGCAAAACTGGAGGAAGCCAAACCAATTTTTCGCGAGGCTTCCGTCGACTTTCGCAACCTGAACAAGCAAGCCCCAGACGCCTCTCTTAAGCTCAGGCAGGGACGACTCGCCAATCTCACCACCTCCAATGGGTGTGGCCTGAGCTTCCCCGACTCGCGTGCAGCGTGCCGTTTTTGGGGGGCGGGGGCGGGGGCGCTCCACAATGAAACGCTAAACCGAGGGTCAAGAGGATGCCCCATAATTGGCGTGCCTTTTACATCCCTATTGAAGTGGACATGTTTGATAACAGGAGATATACCGGTCCTTTCCTAAAAACGGTTTCCACCCTCGGTTTGCTTGCTTTGTCTTTTGTGTTTGTTTCTTGTTTACAAAAAGAAGAAGAAGAAGAAGAAGAAGGAGGCAGACACAAAGCCGCGCCGAGCTCCGCGCCCATCTGTCGCCCTCCGGCTCCTCCGGCTTGGAGCTGGAGCTCGCTTCCTGGCCCATCCCCGGCTATGAGCGGACCTCCTCGCCCGGCTGAACTTCGACTGGTGAACTTCCCAAAGGGAAGTCTTGGATTTTCAAGCCTAGAAACCTAAACACCTTTCTGGGGATAGCTGGGAACCACCAAGTTTGCTGTTTCGTCCCCTGGGAAAAATAGAAATATGTCAATGTCCAGTAGTGACAAACTGATTCCCTTTCAAACCAACAGGGGAATAGAAACATACTCTGAAGAAAATGGAAGTGAAATGGGCCTTAGGCTTCTAGGCTCCCTCAACCACAGGATATGTGGCCCCCTGGCCGCCAGCATCGGAGCGGCCGGGCGCCGGGCGCTTCTCTGCTTCTTCGCCGCCTCCGGGACTTCCTCACGGCCAAGTTCGGCGTGTCATTTGGCCATGGGTCAAAATCCCAATCCCCACTAAAATAGACTAAACTGGGTGGTGCACCTACCCCAAAATGGTACCATTGGTTTTGACCCACAGCCATTTAGGGCGCCCCCTCGCTTGGTGGTTTCAAAGCGGAAACCAACAGCAAACCCGGAAAATCCAACTTGGGGGGGTCCCCTGATAAAAGAAAAAGGACAGGCCGATCTGGGGGTCCCAAAAGGCAAACCAAAAAATCCATGTTGGGCCCCCAAAGAGAAGGACAGACCCATATGCGCGGAAGCTCTGAAGAGCGAGAGGGAGAGACCATGCCTCACAAAGGCATTCCCTTTCCGTGAGGCACTCACCTGGCAACACGGCCCGTGGCCACCCGTCCTTGCCCTCTGCCTTTGCTGTGGCTTCTTCCTGCGGATCGCCGAATCCCACCTCCGTGGGAACAGAAAAGAAAAAGCCGCCGAGCTTCTTGACCGAGCCCAGCGCTCAAATGATCTGCACCTACTTCCCTCCGACGCAACACGGCATGTGCTGTGGGTGCAAATGTTGGATTTGCGAACCAGGGACACTCCGAGTGACCTGTTGTACTATTTAACTTATCTCACATGAACGCAAACCTGTTGTCTTTGATTTGGGCACAAACACGCAAGTGCTCTTCTGGGCTAGTCTTTGACCTGCAACAAGTTCATTTGCTGGTTTTGAAATAGTACTCTCCAAAAACGCTGAAAAGGACAAAGAACCAAAGAGCAAACCAGTCTTGGCCATGGCGTCCCTTGAAACCAACCGCAAAGGGCGTTTCTGAAAAAAGCAAGACGCCGCAGGGCGCCCCAGATTGGGATGTTTGGGATGTTTGGGGCGATTCAACAGGTGCTAGCACCCGCATTTTCAAAACAGCCCCCTTTTTCAGGGACCCGTTTTTCCCAACCCCAAAAACTGGGTTTGACCTCCATTTTGCCTTTTGGCGTTTGGCCCAAAAAGAGTGGGTCGAAAAACACCGGGTGCGCCGTTTGCCCACGTGCGCCGGCCTCCTTCTTCTGCCTGATCTTCTCAAGAACCTCTTTCTTCTCCTTGTCCAGCTGCTGACCCACCATCACATCCTCAGCTTGCGCTGGCCACTTCAACTGGGAGGATGCTGTCGTTTCGGCTGTCAAATCAACGAACCCCTGCGCAAGTTTCAAAGGTCGAGCGAAAATCGGGGCTTTCCTCCGGGATCCGGCAAATCAGAGCTGCGGTGTTCAGCCGCCAAAGGTGGCTTGCAAAACCCCTCCAAAGAGGCTCGGGCCCTATTGGCCTGAGAATATCCCGAAAAGGATCCCGGTTTTTGACACCACCCCCCCCCCCTTGAAGGAACCCATGCCGTAGAGCCCAAATATCAAAAAACAAAAAAACGAGGTTGACACACACACACACACACACACACACACACACACACTTAAACTCCAGATGGAGAGTGCCAATCTTTCGAGTACAACTGATGAGTCTCGAGTACAACTGATGAGTCTCGACTGGGTTCTGCTCGCGATGCACTCGGCTTCCCTCTAGCGGCGAACACGTTACCCGAAAGAACAAGAAGCACAAACAGCGCCGCAACCAAGGGGCCAAAAGGACTTTCAGAATCACGGCATCACGGAAATGCAGGTACGCCGGAGTGGCCAACTCCGGTATCCCGTCTTGCTGCCTAGCTTTGTTAGACCAGGTCAGCAGCAAGACGCCTGGTCCCCCTGCTGATAAACCGAAATGGTGGTGACAGGGCATTCTGTCACTCCGCACACACACGCCCCTCAATGAGGGGCGAGGAGTCACTTTTTCCGAAGGAAGATCACATGCTCAACTCCGTGTCCCTATCGTTGACCAAAAATTCCACCGCGGCGAGGGGAACGAGAAACAGCCCTTAACCGCTCAGAAGACGGGAACGAAAGGTCACCACGTTGAGCATTACGAGTGTCGCCATAGAGGGCTGAAGTGAGTTGTGCAGCAGTCGAGCGATCACCATGAGAAAACGGAGTAGCATAGGTGAACGTCTCCTCAACTGGAATTGCATCGGAATTCCGCACATTCCCAAGTGCTGGATCTCGGGCATGATGTGTAGTGAAGGACTCCCTTCGAGACAGAATGCGTTGGTATCCTTGATGCTGCCAGTCGCGAATCGCCCATGTCTGACCATGTTCACCAAACCCACCACTGGGATCAGTTTCCCGCTTCCACTCCCGAAAAGAGTTGTCTGGTAGATCAGGTACGGTTCACCGGGTTGCCATAGCTGAGTCTGTCCTGGAGTGTAGATCCGCACCCACTCCTGATCCTGCCAGACCGAGTATTCGAGCCATGGGCGCTGCTGCGAATCCTCGATGTCCATGTCGAAGTGAGAGGCAAAGCGTATCGCGGGTTCCGATCCAGCTGATAAAGGGACATGCACGATGCACAACCATGTACAAGCAACAACCAAGCAAGGTCACGCAAGCGTCAAAACCACCCTTATTTTGTCCGCTACCCCACTCGCGTGCATCTAGTCCTCATTTAGCTCGAAGATAGGTTTCGCCTTGGCTTTGCAGCTGTCGGAGGAGTTAACAGGCCGGTATGGCTCAGAGATCCCCACCGTCTCTGGTGGTGCAACTCCCCGTGATGCACGTACAGGTTGATGAAGTTGGGAAGCGTGATGCGCACGAGTCGTCAGCTGCTGAGAAATCCCTTCCTGGAGGCGAGTGAGCTCTTCGGTAGAGAAATCCGCCGCATCCGAGGATCTAAGGATCGCGTCCAACAACTGCGGTGACATACTCAATGGTGTGGATTGTGTGGCCACGCTGTGTTGATCCGGAAAGGACATAGAATCAAAGTCATGACCTGTTTGAGGTGCTGCGACTCTTCGATAGCCCTCTGTGGCCCAGTCTCTTTTGTACCACTTGGTGACATTGAGCTGTTCACCGTCTTGGTGCGGGCTGCGATCATAGAACTCCTTCCACTCTCGATACGTGTGCGGAGGAGGTGGAGCATCATGTTCTTGATGTGGAGTCCATGATCCCGGATGAAAGATCTTGACCCACTGGGCATCTGGTTGTTGAGGATCCGGACACCATTCTAGCCATGCCATGACACCGCAAACCCGGAAAGACAACTTGATATGCATACGGCTTCAGACAACAATTGCTGAAAGCAACACAACTGCCGCAATGCAAGAAATCACTTTTGCAGCAATGCACGGCTCCGAAATCGAAGTCAATCTCCCGCATTTAATTGAACTGAACAGACTCCCCAGGATTGCGAAACCGAGCATCAGCCACCATCCGAGTTGGAGGATGCCGATGAAGATGTCAAACCAGCGTACATGAGGTCCGGTGCGCCCGAAATGTGGGCGACCCAGCCGTTGGTATCCCCTGGTGACCCAGTCTCTATAATACCAAGTATAGAAGGATGCATAAGACACCGGCTGCGAAACAGCACCTGTATTGGTGCCGCCTGTGCTATCCCTCGGCCAATACACCTCGAAGTGGAAAACCTTACGCCATTCCCGATAGGTGGTTGTGTCATCCGGGGCTGGTCCCAAGGTGTTCTCGGCGACTGGATGCCACGGACCGGGAACATAGATCCGAATCCATTCCACTCTCGTATTGTCGGGGCCATTGACGATGTCGTAGTCAAAGTAGCGAGGTAGGGCCCAACGTGCTGGGCCATACATTGTACAATTGAACATATCAACCAGGCAAGCCGCTCAGGGTCAAATGAGAGCGGCAAACAGCTGAAGGCGGGACACACAACACCAAGCAAGACAACCCAACATGGAATCGCATGCAAAGCAAGCACTACCGCGTCAATTTATCCGACATGTTGCTCCAGTATCACCCCGAGTCGTTCCAAGGATCATAGAATGGTGGTGGTGACGGTTCACGCCATGCCCCATCCGGAACCGATGAGTCCGCCGAGGAATTGTCGTCTGCATTCACGAGCATCGCGAGACCAATGGCTGGTACAGGAGCTCCAAGTCGTTGATACCCTCGTGTTTGCCAGTCTCGGTACTCCCACACGTGGTAGGACACATACGAACTAGGCGTGACAATGGGATCCGTTGTTGTTCCTCCGGTGCTGTCTTCGGACCAGTACACTTGGAAGCGATATGACCTGCGCCACTCCCGATACGTAGAAGCGTAGGTCGGTGCGAGCACTGGAGCATCATCAGGAACGGGTCGCCACGTGCCCGGTGAGTAGATTCGAATCCATTCCACTCCTCTGTCGATCTGGTACTCGAAATAGTGAGGGTTCATAGCGGCAAGACAAGCTATCACGCGGCCGCTTCAAGCAAGCGAAAATCTGCGGTTAAAACACACATGCCATGACAACCGCGCTCAGCTGACGGAATGCAAGGCAACTTTTCAAACTCAAGGTGAAACACAGCAGCGAGGTTTGTAATATACGGCCCCTAAGCTTCATCGCCATTGATGCCGTGCACACCTGCAATGATAATGTCCTGGTCGTCTGCGAACACAAGGGGAAAGACATTTCCGCCCATTGTGCAGGAAGGCATGACAGTAATGCTTGCAATTTGCCGATGGGGACAGCGACTGACGGCCAGCTCGTTTGGAGGGAAACACGGTAAACGGCCGCCGAGATCGCCTTGGTGCTGAAGCGGATGCTGTCCTAGATCGTGTGAATGAACGCCCTGGACTGTGTAGCTCTTCATCACGGGAATGGTTAGTGCTGTGGACCGAGCGGCGTGTGCGCTGCGATTTCGATGTAGCAGGGCATGATTGTCCACGAGGAGCTGAGATCGAGGGGCTCCGTACTGAGGGCATAAACTGCGGGTGTAGAATCACCGGTGGTGGTGGTGGTGGAGGAGGCGGGGGTGGCAGAAGCAGTGGGAAACTTGGCGGGGGCGGAGGCGACGTAGTCTGCCGAATGGGTCTGTCCAGCAGGGCTCCAGGTCCGTGAAACTGTAACCACGTCGGCTGCGCTCCATGAGTCCAAGTAATGTACGTCTGTACGACTTGTTCCGACATGTTTTGAGCAACTCAGTCATGAATGCAATTCACGTAAGCGGCAACACCCACAACGGCATGCAAATTACCCTGATACAATGGCACTCAAGTGAAAGCAACCTGCAACACTAGCCAAATACACCGCCTCGGCCGACCATTTAGTCCTCCTGTGGTCGCTGCTGCATTTGATGACCGGGTTCCTACCCGCGGGCCTCAAGTTGCTGATAGACCTTCCATGCCTGCTTGACTTCCTCAATGGGCTTCAGAAGGAACCGAGCGATGGTTTTGTACGTGGGCCTGGAATCCTTGTCTTTCTTCCGTCGCACCATCTCATCCAGCTCACCCTGTGTCCATGCCGTGAAAGGTTCACGGTGTGCATTGCGAAGTGCGATGGTGAATTCTTGTAGAAGTTCACGAGGTCCATGAACCACCGTAGGAGACGGTCTGAACGACGAGGCATCTGGATGTGGACGCACGGAACCATCAGAATCCGAGTCAGGCGTTGTAGGCGTCATCTGTCCTGGTTCTCGTCCGCCGTGTGGGGCTGAGGGGGCAAGTGGCCGCGGTGATGGCAAGTGATCCAACATCGATTCAGGCCGACGACCAGAATTGTTGTCGGCGGCATCTCGATGTGCCGCACGGGGCGGGGATAAGGCCGGTATATACCAGGTTGAGGAAGTGTCCAGAGGGCGGGCTCGAAGTCGAGTAGGAGAGCGGGATCGGTCAGACGAAAGGCGCTCTGTGATGATGCGAGGACGCAGGCCGTGCCTGGAGTTCCGTGGTGCCCTGGCAGACACTCTAGCATCTGACGGATGGCTTCGTTCAGACATCAGGGCAAAGTTCAGAGTGTCCAGCGCTGTCGCAACTTGGGATGCAAGGACATTGAGTACCGCCACCAGGTTGTTCACAAACTCGACTGACAACTGCATGGCAAATGAACACACAGCAAGTACAAATCAAGCAAGTAAGGCTGCGGAACGGTGAAGACATGATGCTTGCACACATGCATGCGCCGAACTACTGAGGTCCTTTTGCCGCTGGTGTTCCGTCAACGGTCATACGACAGACCAGATGGTCGACACGCCGGCATGGCTTTCACTGCCGGCGGGTACTTTGGATTGTAGGCA